AGGCGGATGGGAGGCCTCCCATAAAGACTTGTAGAGCCGTGGTCTATCCATTGTGCCCAGCATCAAAGCACTGTTACTCTCTGCTGGCCAACTGTGGAGAAATCTATTGTGAGAGCTCCCAGAAGGCCGCTCCAGGTGTGTACTGATTCTGAATGACTATGCCCTTCTTGTTCACCATGTCAGGCTGTTACCACCCATCTTAAAAGTTTAAGATTCTTCTCACTGGTTGTATTGCATCTACATACCAACTGCGGTCATGTTAAATGGTACCCTTTGCATTCTGAGGCATGGCATCCCTTTGCTTTGGATAAGCAGCTGTCTTTCAAAGACAGCTCTGTTTTGTTTTTTTCATACTTTAAGATTATTTTTAGCTGTTATAAAATGAGGATGAGACTTATTTAAACTTTTAGTATTTCCCCAGAAAAGGAGCCCTAGTGGCAGAGTGATTACCCATTGGGTTGCCAAGTGTAAAGTCAGCAGTTCGAAACCACCAGCCGCTCTGTGGGAGAAAGATGGGTCTTTCTTACTCCCTGAGGAGGGAACCCACGGGACCAGTTCTACCCTGCCCTGTAGGGTCACTCATGAGTCAGGCATCGACTCGTGCCAGTGAGAGTTGAGAAGAGATGCTGACCTGCTCACAAAATTGTCTTTAGACCAAACTGAGCAAGTGATGGCCAAGCCCCGTTTGTCAGAGAATAGTTTGTATTTTTCTTGCCGAAATCTGGTCTCTGGGAGTAATCTTCTCTGAGCAGATCAGATGTCAGAGTGTGGGTTTATTGGGGGGGCGGGTTCCCCCTGTTTTTCAGCTCAAAGGGGACCCCAGAGGTAGTTTCCCTACCCTAACTCTGACCCTCGCCCCTCCCCGACCCTCCACTTGACAAATCAGGGCACGGAGTATAGAGAGGGTAATTCACTGTGAGGTGTGCCTTACTTACAGGTGTTTGCGTCTGTGCTGCTCTCGTGCACTGGATGTCACCTACTGCTTACTCTCGTTCAGCAGACTGAAATTGAAATGTACAGTTACACCTCTTAAGTTTTCCCCCAAATTAAATATCGTGGCTTCTATTAAAATCAGACCAAACTCATTACTGTCCAGGCACTTCCGACTCATAGGAGAACTGCCTCATAAGCTTCCTAAGGCTGTAATCTTCACAGAAGCAGGCTGCCACATTCTCTGAGGAGCAGCCGGGCCAGTGAGTTCAAAGTCTGATGGGTTCAAACCACCCACCTCTGGATAGTAGCCAGAGTGTTTTAACCACTGTGCTACCAGAGCCCCATTTAAAAACAAACCCCCAAACCTCCAGCTGTTTGAGTCAATTCCAACTCATATTGACCTGACAGGGTTTCTGAGATGATCAGTCTCTGGGAGGAGAGAGAGCTGCATCTTTCTCCTAAAGAGGAGTTGGCACGTTTGAACTAGCAGCCTTGTAGTTAGTAGCTCAGTACCTAGCCTACTGTGCTACCAGAACTCCTAAGGGCATGTGGCTTCCGGAACCCACTGCCCTCCAGTTGATTCTGACTCAGCCACCCAAATGGGGTGGGGGTGGGGGTAGCATTGCCCCATAGGGTTTCCAAGGCTATAAATCTTCCACGGAGTGGCTGTTGGGTTTGAACTACTGACACTGTGATTTGCAACTTAATGCTTTAAACCATGGTGCCACCCAGGCACCTTGTGATTATTATGCTGTGATCAGTTGCCCTGAGTCAGCTCCTGTTTGTTGAGACTCCGTATTCCGTAGAAGGAAGCCCTGCCTGGCCCGGCACCGTCTCACGGTTCTGTTTGAGCTCAGTGTGTTCATCCATCTTGCTAAGCGCCATCCTCTTTTTTTGCTGACCCTCTACTTTTATCAGACCTTTCGTCTTTCTCCCAGGACTGACCCCTTCTGATAAGGTGTCCAAAGTCCAGGCATGGAAGTTTGCCATTCTCCCTTCCAAGGAGCACTTTGATTATATGTCTTCCAAGACAGATGTCTTCCTTCTGCTGGCACTCTGTAGTACATTCCATATCCCCCACCAATAATGCCATCGTTCAGATGCACCTGTTCCTCTGTAGTCTTCTGTATTCATTCTTTATCCAGCTCTCAGGAGCATATGAAGTGATTAAAAATACTATGGCACCTTCCTCCTCAAAGTGACATCTTTGCAATGTAGCAGGTCTTCCCAGTGCACGGCTGATTTCCTGGCTTTCTGCTCCTGTAAAGATTTATAGTTTAAAAAAAAAACAAACCTCAAAATGACCGTTGCACTCTGTCTTACAGGGTCACTGAATCAAGATTGACTTGATGGCAGTGAGTTTGACTTGGTATTTTTTTAAAAAAGAAAAACACCTCGCTGCCATCAAATCGATTCTGACTCATCGTGACCCTCCAGGACAGAGCACAACTGCCCCGGCAGGTTTCACAGCGCTGGAAATCTGCATAGATTTCCAGAAAAGCCTCATCTTTCTCCTGTGGAGAGCCTGTTGGTTTTGAGCCACTGACTTTGTGGTTAGCCGCCCAACATGTAACTTTTCCACCACCAGAGCTCCTTTGGTTTGGTGTGTTGCCTCTTAGATGGCAGGCACTGTTTTAAGTGCTTTGTAGTTAAGAACTCACTTAATCCTCACAACAACTTTATGAACCAAATATGCTTACTGTTTGTATCCCCATTCAAAATAATGACAACATAAACCCAAAAGTAAGTGTGTGTGTGTGTGTGTTTAAAAATGAGTGCTTGCAGGAAGCCATGCTAAGTAGTCTTAAGAAGTGTCAAGAAGTACACCATTATAAGGAACCATGTGGTGTAGTGGTTAGGTGCTGGGCCGCTAACGGGAAGATCGGCAGTCCACACCTCCCAGGAGCTCTTCAGGAAAGAAAGACGTATGCTGCCATGAAGACTATCCCAGGAAAACCCTATGGAACAATTCCACTCTGCCCTACATCAAAGGCCCCCAGTCAGACCTGCCTGGATGGCGCCCAACGGTTGAGTAGAAAAGCGTGAAAGTTAAATTACAGTGAAAGAAACAGCTCACCAAATGATTGGCAGAGACCCTCCCCACAACCACTCCAACTCATGGCTACCTTACAGGACAGAGTGGAACTTTACCCTGTGTGCCTTCAGGACTTTAAATCACCACAGGAACACTCAGCCTCATCGTTCTCCCTCAGAGTTTCTGGTGGGTTCAAACCACCGACCTTGTTAGCAGCTCAGAGCATACCCCTTAAGTCATCATTCTCATTGCCGGCAAGTTAATGCCAACTCGGCAACCCTGTAAGACAGGGTAGAACTGGCCATGTGGGGTTCAGGGACCGTGTGCGTCATCTTTCTCACTAGGAGCAGCTGGTGGTTTCAAACTGCCTACCTTGTGGTTAGCAGACCAATATGTAACCACTATGCCACCAGGGCTTCCAAACTCACTGCCATTGAGTCAGTGCAGACTCATAGTGACGCCCTGTGGGTTTCCAAGTCTATAGCGTTGACGGGAATAGAAAGCCCAGTCTTTCTCCCTCGGAGCTGCTGGTGTTTAGAACTGCCAACCGTGCAGATCACAGTCTGTCACGTAACCACTGCACCATCAGGACCATGCATTTAGAGGAATGAGAAAGGATTATGTGCTGAGATCTCCTTGGAAACCTGAAATAATACCCACACCTTCCACCATCACCGTGACTTCTCCGACCCAGAGAATAGCAGAGGAATGCTGGAGGGAGAAGCAATGTGCCCAGGCCCTCACCCCTGTCCCGTTGGGCCTCGCTTCCTCTTCCTATTAATTTCTTCTGACCAGGAATATGCTGCTCTTTAAAAATATGGCCTGGGTCTGAGCACAAATCAAAGTTCCTTTGCTGCCTTCTCAGAATTGACTCAAAGGCACTGTCTTTTCGTGTAATGCATTTCTCTATAGGATATCTTTCCAATGACACGTTCTCTCCAGGCCAGAAAAACCAGAGGCTGGGGGGAGTGGGGGGGAGACAGGACACAATGTTTACAGAAGTGAGGGTTACTGATGCTAGTTCTACAGAGTGCACCTGTTTGAAGGGCTCACCTGTTGAAATTTTACATGGCTCTAACTTGCAGCTCATGCTGTGTCTCCTCCCTTTTGAAGGAAGACTTTCAGCCACACAGGTGGCTGCCCATTCCTGAGTAGACAGTGGTTCCCCTTCCTTGCCCATAGTTTTAGGAAGGCCTGTGTGTTCACCATAGCCTTTTTGACCCCATGGTTGGCTACAGATGGAGTGTGATACAGTGGCTAAAGAATTTGCAGGAGCTGATACCAAGGGCTCAAACAGGAAAAAAAAAAATTGAAAATAATGATGGCAATTTTTGTACAAATGTGCTTGATACAATTGATGCATGGATTGTTATAAGAGCTGTAAGAGCACCCAATAAAGTGATTTATTAAAATAAAGCAGCTTGATATCAACCTCACCTTTGAAACATTAAAAAAAAGAATTTGCATTGAAGAGCCACAGACCTAATTTCAAATCTCACTTCTGCCATCTACTTGCTGTGTGACCTCGGGTAAGCTATTACACGTCAGTAAGCCTCTGTTTTGTCATTATAGAGTGAGAATGATCATTGTGTGGTTTAGTGCAATATTGCCTTGTATCTTGAAAGCACTCAATGCGCTTTGGCTCTTACTAGATGCCTACTTGAATAACCCAAACCCATTCACAGCAACCCTGTCTAAGAGTTCTGAAACTATCCCCCCCCCCCATTGTATTCGTCTCTCTAATCTTTGTGATACGCTTCCATTTGTTGTGAAATGCTTAAGGGTCCACTTCAAATGCTCGCACCACTAAGAACATGGCCACCACTCCCTTTATTTAAACTCAAAATTACGCCTTTGGAGTCTTGTCTCTGTTCAGATCCCTGTTCAAAGAGTTACGGAAATCTTTACAGGTGCAGACAGCCTCCTTTCTCTCCCTTCCAGGGAGCAGCTCGGTGGACTGGAATCGCAGGCTTTGCTGTAGCAGTGAGGAAAGTGCGGAGGCCACATCTGAACTCCTCTGACTTGACAAAGGGCAAAGAGAATCTAACCTCACATCAGCGCCAGTTTCTGTGAGGCAGAGGTCAGGTTTGCAGGTATACTCCTCCCCTCCCAACCTCCTTTATTCTATTTTAACACCAACTGACCCTCCCACGGCACTTTACTTCTCTACTGGGTTAGATAGTTCATTGCAGTGGCCACACAGGACTCACAGGCAAGACAATATCCGTGATTACAGAGTTTATCAGTGAAGCTAACAGGTTACAAGCCAGGATTAGAAATGTTAAGGATACAGTTCTTATGTCCATAGCACCTCTTGTCCACCATTCCCGCAGGTACACCTCTCTCTGGTCTTTGGCCTCTTGATCAGCTAGCCACTTGACCTCTGCCCTAATAGGGCAAGTGTTACACAGCTCCATTAACACAGATAAATGCCCAGAGGGCACCCACTCCAAGCCAACCTCCAGTCCCTAGGTACTCAACTTTACTTGGTGTGTGGGCCAGGAAACAGCTCTGTCTCGTGGTTTCAACTGCTCCTGCCTCTGCTGCCATGGCCATTTCTCTGCACAGAAGTCTTGGGGGTGCTCCTCTTGTGGCTCTGCTTCCTGATGGCTCAGTGATTCTTCCCATTCCTGGTACCGAGGTGGTTCACTTGATACCCAGTAGAATGGCAAAATTGACCAATCTCCATGTTAAAGTTTCACACACCCTATTTGTGTGTTCCTACCCAATTGTTTGGTGAGCTTTACAGAGACAATAATCGAAGAGCCATACCAAATCATTTCACTTCCCCACCGCAGCCTACCATGTACCCACAGCACCACCAGAGCGCCTTGTGTGCTGTCATCTTAGGTGCTGTCAACTCAGCAGGTCACTTTGGACTCATCGTGACCCTGTGTCCAACAACAGGATGCTGCCCGGGCCTGTAGCAGTCTCACATTGCCGTTAGGCTTAACTGATTGTTGCAGTGGCTGTGGCAACCCGTCGCCATGAGGGTCATCCTCTTTTTTGTTGACCCTCTATCAAGCATGATGCCCTCTTCTAGCGACTGGTCCCTCCTGATCAGACGTTCAAAGTACGTGAGGCTTGACGTCTTCACTTCGAGGCATTCTGGCGGTACTTATTCCAGGAGAGGTTTATTCAGTGTTCTCTGCCATCACCAGGTTTCAGATGTCTCGAGTATTGTCCATGTTAAATTTTTCTTGTTGAAATGCAGTCGGTGTATTTCTGTAACCTTTGAACAGTCGTTCTTACAAACTTCAGAAGGTGGTGGTTTACGATTATGACAAATAAGCTCAAAATGGTTCTCAAAAAAACTCACTGCCGTTGAGTTGTTGCCGACTCACAGCGACCTCATAGGGCAGGGCAGAACTGTCCCTGTGAGTTTCTGAAACTAACTCTTCACACAATTAGAAAGCCCCATCTTTTTTACCCTTCAGGAGATTGGTAGTTTTGAACTGCTGACCTTGCTGTTGGCAGTCCAATAGGTAACTTCTCTATCGCCAGATCATTGGGATTCTTTACATGGAACATTTCTAAACGGGTCAGAATCTATTTTAAAATTATTAGATGAACAGATGGAAGAGTTTGCCCACGGTCACTTTTGAAACTACAGTTCCCTCCACAGGAGCATTTCCCAACTGCATCTGCTTCCGGATGGTTCTTTTCTAACACTTGTTTTGGACAGCTACGTCCTCGCTCAGTGGTCCGTGTGTTTGCTAACAGCTGGCGTTGTGTCTTGCCCTCTGATATGGCTGCAGAAGACTGCGCGGGGCTAGAAGCCTCAGCTCAGCTGCTTTGTCGTTCACTTGTGTTTGCATCATTCCCCATAATTGTGATTTCTCCTCGCTGATCTGATAAGGCACTCGTGTCTTTCGGCAAGGTGACATTAAGCAAGCTGGGTAAAGTAATCCATTATTTCCCATAACTGGATGCAGGACAGGACCTAAAAGCCCATGGTGAGTCCTGTCAACGGCTCTGAGAGGGGAGCCTTCTCTCAGTACCCATCACCTGCCCTATGCGATGTGACAGGTCAACACTTAGACCCAGTATGGGAGGGTGCTGCTGCTTATGTGTACATTGAATATAGCTTGATTTCTCTCTCACTTCTACAATAGAAACATCCTGGTATTTTCCTCCTGCATGTCCAGAGCTGCTTCTTGTGTTGGAGACCACAGCACTAGCCTTAGGAAGGCTCCCATAAGAAGCATTAAAATAGCAAGGTGGTGCATCAGCCACCCCTGGACCTTGACGTTTGCCTTGCATGCTGACTCCAGAGTTAGCCCCCTGGTCCTGAGCGTGTTACATAAGTATGCAAAGGCTCAGTTAGATTTTCTGTAGAATCACCTAACTGCTGGGGTTGTGAGGATGAAAAATAAAACTATACACTTACTCTTTTAAGCCTGGTGCCTGGCACACTGCTGTGTACTGTAAATGCTTCCAACCAGCTGTGTTCCTGGAGATGTGATATGTTTCACTCTAAACAAACACTCCATGGATGGAATTCACCTGTTAGAGGTTCCTATTTGCAAACCTTAATACTGTATATACTCGAGTATAAGCCAACCCGAATATCAGCTGAGGCGCCCAACTTTATCACAAAAAATGGCATTAAAAATGTACTGAGGGTTGGAAAGGGAGAACCGATTACAAGGATCTACATATAACCTCCCTGGGGGACGGACAGCAGAAAAGTGGGTGAAGGGAGACGTCGGACAGTGTAAGATATGACAAAATAATAATTTGTAAATTATCAAGGGCTCATGAGGGGGAAGTGGGGAGGGAGTGGAAAAAATGAGCTGATGCCAGGGGCTTGGGTGGAGAGCGGATGTTTTGAGAATGATGAAGGCAATGAATGTACAAATGTGCTTTATACAATCGATGCATGTATGAATTATGATAAGAGTTGGATGAGCTCCTAATAAAACAATTAAAAAGAAAAAATGTGCTGAAAAATATGCCATATATATATGGTATATTTAAAGTGACCATGACCATGGCCCAGCTAACTGCCAGTTTTCTTTTTCTTCACCTCCTGCAAAGTGTTAGCGACACCGCTCCTTTATAGAGCCGGACTAATAACATTGTTTTCATACTTCAGGTATAGGCCAGAAACCAACCTCGCCCCTACATCTCCTAGGACAGAAAGAACAACAGAGACCCTCATTTGGATCGAGTCTGAATGATGACTGCTGAATCCAGGGAAGCTACGGGTCTGTCGCCTCAGGCTGCTCAGGAGAAGGATGGTATTGTGATCGTGAAGGTGGAAGAGGAAGATGAGGAAGACCACGTGTGGGGGCAGGATTCCAGCTTGCAGGAGACAGCTCCCCCAGACCCAGAGATGTTCCGCCAACGTTTCCGGCACTTCTGTTACCAGAACACTTTTGGGCCTCGAGAGGCCTTGAGCCGACTTAAGGAGCTGTGTCATCAGTGGCTACGCCCAGAAGTAAACACCAAGGAGCAGATCCTGGAGCTGCTGGTGCTGGAGCAGTTCCTGTCCATCCTGCCCAAGGAGCTCCAAGTCTGGCTGCAGGAATACCGGCCAGACAGTGGGGAGGAGGCGGTGACCCTGCTGGAGGACCTGGAGCTTGATCTATCGGGACAGCAGGTAAGAAGAGGTGAAACCTACTTTGTGGGAGCAGGCTGGAGCACGGAAACAGGGGCTGATGTCGGTCAGGAGCCCCGTGCCCCGGGCAAAGGAAAGCAGGTTCTGGCCTCGGCTGCCCTCCAGCATCCACTGGCCGATTTAGGTACATGCGAATATTTTCATTCCTGTTTTGAACTCAAAAGCTCACGTGCTGCTCCTCAGGTCCCGGGTCAAGTTCATGGACCTGAGATGCTGGCAAGGGGGGTGGTCCCTATGGATCCAGTACAGGAATCCTCCAGCTTTGAGCTTCATCCCGAGGCCACCCAATCACATGTCAAGCCTTCATCTCGGAAACCCCGCCTCTTGCAGTCACGGGGTAAGGAGCCAGATTTCGTGGATGTTGGGGGTCGGGGGTGGGACTGGTAGTAACTGCATTGATTCAGTGATTAGACTATTCAGGTGGCATTGTCCTCTCACTGAGTGCCTAAGAGGGAAAAGCATGACTGTTATTATTCCTAAATAGTCTTAATACTAGAGGACTTAAAACATAGACCAATCTCAAAAGTTAAATTAGGTTACTGAAGAGTGAACTATAGGAGCCCTGGTAGCATCGTAGATTCCGTGTTGAGCTGCTAACTGCAAGTTGCGCGGTTTGATTCCACCAGCCACTCTGAGGGAGAAAAATCAGGCTTTCTACTCCTGTAAAAAGTTATAGTCTCAGAAACTCAAAGGGTCAGTTCTACTCTGTCCTGTGAGGTCACTGGCAGTCAGAATCAATTCAGTGGCAGCGAGAAAGAGGGAACTGAAACTGAAATATGTTTAATGGCCTTGGTTAGAACTCCCGTTATTGGTTGATTGATTGAATGATTGATTTTAATTGTTAGCATTCTGGATACCTAGCAGGTTTTTAACGGGAAAGTGGTGAGAAGACATACTCTTCCCAGCCTGGGTTTTGAATCGTTCTAATCTGATATATATTTTCAGGAAAAAGATCATAAATCTTCAAAATTCATTTTAAAATATAAAGAGAGTCTAGAAGATGGAACAGTGAGAAAAGATGCAAAAACTTTTTTTCTCTTCTTTTCTTTTTTCTTTTTTATTTGCTCTTGGTTGAGGGAAATGGCAAAAAATAAAATCTGTTCAAGGTCCTATAAATAAGAATTAGTTTGTGTTTTTTCCGTTGAGAAAATTTCATACCAAAGGTAGGAAGGTAGGGTCATAGAATGGCAGTAAAACAACTGAGTGATAAAAGTAGAATGAGGCAAGGAGAGTTGGTAGAAAGCACATTCCTTAAGCACAGTGTGTACTAGTGATGTGGAATCAGGATGGAAATAATCGGTAGCTGGCCGAGCTTGAGGAAACACTGGCTTCTCCGTATTTCTGAGAATAGCAGCAGGCGTGTGTGGGAGAAATCCCTGTAAAGCAATGCAGTGACTCCATCACTGTTACTGCTCTTCTCGGGTGCCCACGGCTTTTCCACATTTCATAAGCAAAAGTCAAATTAGGAAACTAGAGGGGGCCATATGCAAGCGCTGGATTCAAGCATTGGAGGCAGGGAGCGATGTTTTAGAAGCCCTGACTTGCCGCTCCGTAAGCAGTTCTTAGTGAATGGAGGTGTATACATTTTTATCCTCTGTCCTACTCAGCCTCAAAAGTGTTTCCTAACTCACAGGTCGGCGTGCTAGACGCCTGGTCTTTGTGCACACTTTGCTCTTGCCTCCCTTTATGATTGTGTAGTTTAAAATAGTTACAGGGGCTAGTGATTCCATTTCAGATTTATTTCTCTTATATCCTCATGGTCCGTAACCTCATCTCTCGACCCATATCATTTCCAAATCGAATATTGGTTGCATGGGTGGTGGATTTTAATATAACAATTTCAATATTTGTCTCCTTGAATGTTCAGTTAATGTGATCATATATTAGAGGTATCTTTATTGTATTTATTATAAGTGTCACTTTATTATAAGTGTGACTCCCTACTTTTACACACTGGTAAACATCTGTCTTGTCAGCATTTCCTTCTGTGTCTGCATTTAATTCAAAAGCTGTCTATGTGGCCAAATAAGGGAGAAAGTAGAGGGATGAAAAATAGTAAAACATCCCCTGAGGTAAGAAGAGCCCTTTCCTTCCTTTCAAGGTTTTTAAAGCTGTGTTGCATTTGACATAACTCTGGACATAAGTGGGATTCTAATGTCCTGATACTCTTTTTTTCAACTAGAGGAAAATTAAGAGCCAGATTGAGATGGGAGCTGATTATCTACTTCTGTAGCAGAGAAAAGAGCCTGAGGTCTAGTGCTTCCTCTGCCACTCTTAGCTCTGTGGCCTTAGGCAGGTCTTCTATCCTTTCCAGGCCTCCCTTTCCTCTTTCAAATAAAGGGCTCAGACTAGGCAATATTAAGGACACTATTATTATTTTTAATCATTTTATTAGGGGCTCATACGACTCTTATCACAATCCATACATACATCAATTGTGTAAAGCATATTTGTACATTCATTGCCCTCATCATTCTCAAAACATTTGCTCTCCACTTAAGCCCCCGGCATTAGGTCCTCATTTTTTCCCCTCCCTCCTCGCTTCCCCCTCCCTCATGAGCCCTTGATAATTTATAAATTATTATTTTGTCATATCTTGCCCTGTCCGACGTCTCCCTTCACCCACTTTTAAGGACATTATTTTTTATGGTTCCGCATGACTCTTGTTTAAGATTACAAATCTATGGAAAACGGATCACATGTGTCATTTTTATAGTCTTTGGGGTTTTTTCTGTGCTTGAACACAGAGTGTGCTAGTGCAGGCGAGCTAGTGACCCCGGATTCTTCTTTGATGAGGGGCTTCAGAGCAGAACTGGTATTACTCACAGTTCCTTTCTCCTCCCCCAGCTCTCCCTGCCTCCCACGTACCTGCCCCTCATCTGGACAAGAGTCCCAGAGAGCAGGCAGTGGCATCGGCGCTGTTCACAGCAGATTCCCAGGTGAGCGGCAGCCCTTCACCTTCGTAAGCCCTTTGTGTCAGTCTCTCTCCCTGGGCTCTTTTTTCACCTCCACCCAAGACATTCACTCTTGTTGCCCCTCCCACATAGACGTTCCACCCACAAAGAAATCCCAAATCCTCCAGAACTTGCTAAGGTCTTATTTTCTTTCCCAACAGACAACGCTCCCAATGGAATTGCCCCTGAGCTTTGAGGAAACTAGTTGGTGGTGGTGATGGTGGTAGATGCCATCAAGTCAGTTGAAATTTACCGCCTGATCCTGCACCATCCTCACAACTATTCTTAGGTTTGAGCCCGTTGTTACCACCATCTCATCGTGGGCCTTCCTCCTTTTCTTGTCCCTCCAATTTACTAAACATGAGGTCCTTCTCCAGGGACTGGTCTCTCCTGATAACACGTCCAAGTACGTGAGACTTGCCACCCTTACCTTAAAGGAGCATTCTTCCAAGATAGATCCACTGTTTCTTTTGACAGTCCATGGTACTTTAAGTATTCTTCGCCAACACTATAGTTCAAATGCATCGATTTGCCCTCAGACTTCTGTTTCACTGTCAAACTCTCACATGCATATGATGCGATTGAAAATACCATGGCTTGGGCCGGGCACACCTTAGTTCTTAGAGTAACATCCTTGCTCTTCAACACTTTGAAGAGGTCTTGTGCAACAGATTTACCTAGTGCCATGCGTCTTTTGAGCTCTTGACTGCTGCTGCCATGCACATTGATTTTAAATACAGGCAACGTGAAATACTTGACAACTTCCAGCTTTTCTCCATTTGTCACGATGTTACCTGACTGTGGGGATCTTGTATTATTTCAGGCAATGGTGAAGATCGAGGACATGGCCGTGTCCCTCATCCTGGAGGAATGGGGATGTCAGAACCTGGCTCGGAGGAATCTCAATAGGGACACCAGGCAGGAGACGTGTGGGAGCATGCTGTCCCAGGGTAAGACTGATGCAGGATGATTGCCTGATAAGATTTCTTTGCCACGTTGTTAGTTGTGGAATTATTGATGTTCTCACTTGAGTGTAGACAAGAATCTAAAGGATTCTGATCCCCTTCATTTGGACCAAGTAGAGTGAGAACATTTGTGATCATTTTATCCCCAAAGCATGATACTGTGACTCCTTGATTTGAGGCCTTTTTTTTTTTTTTTAAGTTGTTGGTAGTTTTTGCTTCTTGAAAGGAGAATAGATGATCATGTTCTGAGTTCTCACCTCTTCAACCACTTGGTTCCCTGGGAAGATTTTGCCCAGTGGGTTACAAAGTAGACAAGCACGCATGCACGCACGCACGCACACGCACGCGCGCATGCACTTACAGGAGTAGGAGCCCTTTGGCGCTTCGGAAGATGCAGCAGTCTGCTTCTGTGAAGATCACAGCCGTGGGAACCTAATAGGAAAGTTCTGCTCTATCCTGTGGGGTCGCTGTGAGTCAGAATCCACTCAATGGGAAAGGGTTTTGTTTTTGTTTTCTGCCTAATGCTCCAACCAACTTTTTCACCCCCATCCCTGTTGCTTGATTGCTGTTAGCTCTGTCCAGCTCTTCCTGCAGAAAGGAACCATTTCCACTTGTTGAAGGTCCTCACAACTTGCCAGGCTCAGAGCTCTGTTTTGCCAGTTAACAACCTTACAGAACCGGAAGAGCACTCTCTTTATCTTTATTAACTCGACTCCTTTCTTTCTGCTCATGCTACCTACCACGTTCTTGGAAGGACCTGTCTGTTCTATGTTTTTTAAACTTCTAAATACCTGTGTTAGAAATATAACATGATTTTTAAACCATATGCATTACTTCAAATTAATTACAGGGTAACCATATCATAGAATTGTAACACTCCTCACCTCCACCACCTTGGTTTCTTAGTTTCTTTGTCCTTCCCTTACTTTTCCAGTCCGTCTCATTCCGCAGTATAGCTGCTTATTTCCACCCTCTGTCAGCCCCTCCGTTGTACCTGCCCTTCCCTTCCACAATGCCTGCCCTCTCCTTTTCCTGCCTCTTCTCCCTGTTGTCCCTTTTCCCTTCTGTTTATCATCAGTTAAGATTGTGAAGGCACTTTTCAGGCATGTAGACGCTTCCTGGAGAGCGATGTCCCTTGATGACCTATTCAAAAGAGAAAGATGCTGTTTGTGTTCTCTGTTTATTGTATCAGGTTGTGGAAACAAGTGTGAGACCGAGGAGTCATCCTCAAAGACTAAAACTGCCGAAGACTCAACAGCACATGGGGAAACAACGGGAAGAGCTCAGAGAATATTTGGAGAAAAACGTGAACAGCCAGGCAGAATAGTAGAAAGGCAACAGAGAAACTCTGAGGAGAAAACTGGAGGAGAGAAGAAAGATTCTGGACCAGCTGCAGTCAAAGGGAAAAAACCCACCACGGGAGAGAGAGGCCCTAGGGAGAAGGGTAAAGGATTGGGACGAAGCTTCAGTTTGAGCTCCAACTTTAATACCCCTGAAGAAACCCCAGCAGGAGCCAAGGCTCACAGATGTGATGAATGCGGCAAATGCTTCACAAGGAGCTCCAGCCTTATCCGCCACAAAATCATCCACACCGGAGAAAAGCCCTATGAGTGCAGCGAGTGTGGGAAAGCCTTCAGCCTCAACTCAAACCTCGTCCTCCACCAGAGGATCCACACAGGAGAGAAGCCTCACGAATGTACCGAGTGCGGCAAAGCCTTCAGTCACAGCTCAAACCTCATTCTACATCAGAGGATCCACTCCGGAGAGAAGCCCTATGAATGCAATGAGTGTGGGAAGGCCTTCAGCCAGAGCTCAGACCTTACAAAGCATCAGAGGATACACACGGGGGAGAAGCCCTATGAGTGTAGTGAATGTGGGAAAGCCTTCAACCGCAACTCGTACCTTATCTTACATCGGAGAATTCATACCAGAGAAAAACCTTACAAGTGCACTAAGTGTGGCAAGGCCTTCACCCGGAGCTCAACACTTACACTGCACCATAGAATTCACACACGAGAGAGAGCCTCTGATTACACCCCAGCTTCCCTAGATGCCTTCGGGGCATTCCTAAAAAGTTGTGTGTAAAGGGAGAATTTGTCCACAAGCCACTTTCCCCTTTTGTTTCTAAAATTATTTCAGAGATGTATGTATGCCTATGAAGGGAGGCGAAGAGCCTCAAATTAAAAACAACAAGAAAATTACACTTAAGGATCCTTATAGCTCCTGCAGGGAAAACCTTGTCCTTTGGGTAATCCCTTGTCAGACGGATAATCCACATGCTAGTTCCACCCGAGGTAAAAGCACGCACACAGGAAGACGGCAAACTTTTCCATAAGGTGGGTGCCTTTAAGGCTCTGAAGATGACACTGAGGTTAAGAAGCTACTCGCTACAAATAAACCCAGCTTGGCCAACATCTTTCTCATAAAAAGAGGGACCGTTTTTAAAAATGTCATTGGGATATGCTGCTCAAACTAGTTATAGATACAATGAGTTCTACGTCTGATCACTGGTAGCCTACCAAAGCTATAGAACTCTAGGACTGTACTGATCGGTATCAAACCAAAGGTTCCTGGCTCATCCTGAAAGGGGAGGTATGTGCACCAGTCTGCAGTTCCAAAGGACTGCCACAGAAGTAGATGGTTCTGTCCGGATGGCAGAGGTATAGTCTACTGAAATGGAAGCAAAAATTTAAAATAAAACAAAACAAATGTCCCTTCTTGGAATCCCTAAAGCAGTATCTCACTCCGAAATACTTTTTCTCCATACTTTAGCACTTGCTTGTATACTGTCTTCTAATCTTTGTTCCATGTGTGTGAGTTTTCAGCAACCCCAAACGAGATGCTTCAGTTGTCAAGGGATATGTTTCTGTCCCTCACAGCACTGTGCACGGTGCTGCGCACACCCAAGGCAATCCTATGACTGCCTTCGAACAGAGGTTCTGCATGTGTGACAGTCCTGTGAATCCTGGGTGCTTCACACACAGGAGCTACCTGGCCCAGCTTTTGAAGAGGACCGTTAGTATCATGGGGTACGATGTAGGGTCTAATGCCAAATTTGTCCGAAATCATGAGGAAAGGTGCTTGTTAGCTGCCTGCATCAACGTCTACTTTTTTCCCCCCCATAAACTACTAAACATGCATTGGTGAGCAGATTACCATCTTAAAGAATACCAGGAAGGTGAAGGCCAGTTCTCTGCCATCTTCCTATGGCAAACATTCAAGCCAGAATTTGTGCTGGTCACCTGCGAACAGCATGATGGTTTGGGCACTTTCTACAACTGTGGTTCGTACAGTTGGGAAGGTCAGCTTTTTGTTGGTTTTCAGGGCTAGGAAAGTTTCCGGTAGCATTTTCCTGCACTTTTCTAGCAACTTTGCAACGGATTTGACATCGTTACCTGGCTAATCGTCACCCGGCTATTCCTGAAGTGTTTTCTTGCACTCCAAAGTTCACCAGTGTAACGAGGTGTCGGGGTTGCTTTATGGTCTTAGCTGCCAGTGACGTTTTTGTTTCTCATCCCTGAGGACAGGTGCGACTATAAAGCTCATCTTTAACTCTTCTTAAGAGGGGGATGCACTTGAAGCTAGTACTGGAGACTTCCGCATGCACACAGGTGGATTGTGGACGATGGAGGCACTCGTCAACCCTTGTATACAGGCAGATAGCTCTGCTCCTGCAGACAAGCAAATGATGATGGGAAGGCCTGGAGAAACTCAGGAACATAGACTTAATAGCAAACCTGAAGGCTAGCATGACCCCCAAACTGGAGGACCCACATGAAAGCTGAGGTTTTCCCCTCAAGTAACAGCTAAAATTTACTCATCGTTTGTTCACGGACCAACAACTAAAACTTCATGAGGCAACATGACTTCATGGGGAGCCAGCCTCAAGCTGCAGACCAGACTCAAGTTCTGCACAGTAGTAATTCTTGGGCCGCTCTTTTCCCATGAAGAGGTATCCAGACGCAGGGACTTGAATGGTAACCCCAGGCACTGATCAGAGCACTGGCTCCCCTCTGTTCTTCGGAAAAACGACCTTTCGAACTTTGGCCAGTCCCCACATTGGCCTTTTCTCTTTAGCCCCAGCTACTTGCTGACATCATAATTCACCCGTGCGCACACATACATATTTTTAATATAAGTAAAAGTGAACTATAGCCCATGCTCCCTCCCCCAGCACCCCCTGCGTTCAACTCACATTTTCCTGGGACATAATACTGACTTTGTGGGCTAGCCACTGGTGATGCTCCAGTTCGCCAGCAGCTCACACCCAGGTGAAGCTATTTGAAGATGTGTTTCTGAGAAAATCTCAGGCTACAACTGTTTAAAAACCACTTGCATGGCATTTATTTTCAAATGTCCAGTGCAAAGTGTAATTGGGTCATGGTCCAAAAGGCCCATAGCTTGGCCCAGTTCGTGCTCCGGATAATCAGTCCGAAATGTGAAGTGTGATCACAGTTTACTCTGTGGTTATTCATTGACCTGCCAGTTGACCTCATGGAAGTTTTCGGAAACTTTAAAAAAAAAAAAAAATCACATGTATATGTACATACCTTCCTTGCCAGAGAGAGAAGTGAAATGCTTCAAGTACGTACTTGTTTTTTGACTTCAGCCCGCCGGACAAGGCTAAAACCTGAAACAGACGAGGGCACCTTGACCTAGAAGGCACTTCTCACTTCATCCATAGGATAAAAGCAAAACAGCTACACGTGTGCAGCAAGATGGACTTTCCTGATCGGTGGAACCATCAAATGTTCATCAGCAAATTCATTCCAGAAAGGACCCTCTTCAGTGTGACAACTGTGGCCAAGCCTTTCGTCACTCTTCGCTCCTTCGCAGCAGAAAGCTTACATTGTAAATAGACTTTCTTCAGTGCCGTGCATGAAGAAGACTTCCACGTGCAGCGCTCAGTGCATTGGACACGCCGTTCCATCACCGCGTTTGAATCACGTCGCGAATCCCAGAAACCCTGCAGAGGGAGCTCAGCCTTGACAACTCCGGAGGACGCACAGAACAGAAAGCAGCAAATGCTGGGACATGCTCCAGAAATTGGGGAGCCTCTGTCTTCTGACAGCAAAGGCTAACGCTGGGTACTTGACCGTCCGACCAGCACGTCGCTGTGTTTTTGCCTCCAGCTTCCCTTGTCATTCTGTCAATTCCCCGTAGACGGGTGACGGACTTCGTTTTCATCTCTTTGACCGAACATCTCACTCTAAAAGATAAGCGTAGTGAAGAAATCGGTGTGCTTGTCGACAAAAGGGCAGTTCACCGAACTGAAGGGGCTGGGGGTGGGTGGGGTGGATGATAAAAAGCGTCATCATTTGATGTGTACCAAATCCAGAAAAGAGTAGAGAGTTCCTGAGAAACAGTTCATGTGAACATGTGCCGCTCCCTGAGAATTCTGTTTCCTCTCTCTTCCAAACCAGGAGTGCAAGGGGCTTATCCCCGAAACTGAGACTAGGAGATGTACTGGGAAGTCCAGTGAGACCACTTAGTTCGGCCAACCTGTCAGCTATAGCCCTGCTTCCCCTCCTGACGCAAATCTTCATTGCTCAGGAAATTAGGGATAGGCACACCCCCAAATTGGGCTTTTCCCCCCAGAAGGTAAGCACAGCTCTGTCCCCGTTCTTGGCCTTGCAGGAAGCAGTGTGGCTCGTTGCCTACCTGCTCCTACTCAGCCCAGCTTTGTGATGGTTAGGAGGAAGTCTGTGAGCGGACTCGCAGCTAGAGACACGTCATGTTTTTATTTCAGTCATCTATCTCACTGTCTAGTCATTCTAACTTGCCCATCCAATGCTAACTAAGTGTGGATTGGAGCATGTTAGTAGGTAGTAAGATAGGGTGCTGTGAATCAGAATTGACTTGAGGGAGGGAGTGTTAATACGGTGGCAGCAAGACTTAGCACAGGAGCCATATTTCCGTGGGTCCTCTGAGCGACGGCTCAGGGATGTTGATGGGTGCCTGGCACTCCCAGTCCAGGAAACCGCATGAAGGTCTGCACATTGTTAACATGAAATCGCAAGTCAGAGAGAGGGAAATCCAGATACATCATTCCACAGAAATAGATTTTTTTTTTAATCTCCCTCATGGAAATTTGAATTTTAAAAGCTTTCTTAAAGTGTTTCATTTTTAGAATGGACACACTACATGGTAAATGCAGTTACTTACGATTGCTATTCAGGTTAAATTTTGGATTATATCCAAAAACGTTTCACATCGTAAAGCTCTGTCAAACAAACTTGAAGTTACCGGGAGGTAAGCCATCTCCAGTTCCGCAGGCCACACACACACTTGGGAAATGCTTTCCCCATGCCCTAATGCAGAATGTCTTCATTAGAACTGGGTCTCCCACTGCCTGGTTCTGTTTCATGTTGGCCACCACCAGTCTCGTTCTTTTCTCTGTGCTTGTGAAAGAGTGCACAGTGAGGGGTGCCCCTGAGCTCAGCTCCGTCTGCTGCCCCTTCAGTTATCATCCCTGCAGTTCTCTCCTCTGGCCCTCAGCCGCAGATCTCACTGGCCACTCCGCTTCCCGTGTCTCCCTTCACCAAGCACTCCTTCAGCTGTGAGGCTGAACCTTTGAAGAGCTAATGAGTCAGGGCTCTGGTGATTGGAAGGTAGTACTGGAACTTGGATTGCATTCCCGTTTCAGATTTGAATTTTATGTTCCTTTGATCCGGGGAAGGGACCCACAGCTGAAATAACCCCAAGCCACTTAGTTGCCCAACAAGGTTAGGTATGTTAGGAAGGGAAGGAGGGTGGTGACCCTATCATCCTGTTAAGAAAGAAGGCGAGAGGCCCCAGAAGATACATTCATGGGGTGGTTTGGGGATTAATGCTAACCTGCCTCCCCCTTCACCTCAAACCAGCTAACAGCATTCGGCTGCTATTAGATTGTTTACTCTGTTCTAGCAAAAACAAAGCAAGTTAGACTTAGAAGTGCTTCTGCTACTAGCAAGGATTCTAATTTGGTAGCAAATATCCAAGAAGAGGGTAAAGTGGGCAGAAGAGGATTGTGATTATACAGGAAAATCTTGTTATCAAAACGAGTTTAGGGGTAAAGAGTGGGATATGCAAGCAAAATCAGTAATAATATTTTAAGATGAACATATGTATTTTTATTAACTTTTCGTTAAATATAGATTATTATATTACCAGGTCAACATGATAAGCCTAAATCTATTGAGAGAGAGAAAGCTAACTCAGGCATTGTGTTGTTTATTGTAGACTGGGTAAGACAGCCTTTCTTGTTTTTTTCAGTTCCCAGTTTCTTAGCTTAGAAAAAAATTAGACCAAAAGGAATTTATCGTATACCTGCAGAATTAAATTATTGCTGTTAAAAACTAGATTTTTCATTTTAAGTAGTTTGAAGAGTCCAAATGCTTGGTATAGATGCTCAGTACATACATGATTTTTAACTTAAATTTGTTTGTTTAAAATCTTCGTGAATTTTGTAGAAGAATTTCTTTTAAGAGCTCCTGGGATCTTAGAGGGGACGTTTTGTGGTTTGAGTGGCTTAAATTGTTAACATTCAGCATTAATTTGAACCCTTGATTGGGATAAGTATGAGAAGTAGCCACAGAGTAAAATGTATACTCGGCGAACTGCCTGCAGTCTGCTTCAGGAGACCCCGGGGTCTGCCAAAGAAATGGTAGGGTCGTGCGGCTGGGAGGGGAAATTGTGGGGGTTTGTAATACTCTATGTTGTTTCTCTTCCGGGTCATGGTAAAACAATAAATTATCATCTCTAGGTGGCAATATTTACACATGTGCTTTGTCTTCCTTGGTTGCATGAACGTATGTATGCTGGGTAAAGAAAAAAGTTAAAATTTCAAAGTTAAAAAACCAGACTGCTCACAAATCAATTCCTTGTACAATGAACACGTTGTTTGAGCAATTTCCCTGTAAAACAGACTTGGACCTCCAGAGAGCTTCTTAGGAAAACAAAAACCCACCCCCTTGGATTCTGTGGGTAATGCAGTTTTTTTAATTAGGAAACCTTTTTTGTAATCTGACTTTTAATCAGTAGAAAACCATTTATGGTAGGTGCCTAAGGACTAATGCATCTTTGTAACATGATAAAGACCTTCAAACTTGTTTCGTTACTGCATAATGAATTGAAATATAGTGGGCAAGTGGTGAGTTTTTTGTTTGGTTGTTTACATTTTAAATAATTCAGCTTATGTAAAAACTAAAACATAAGGGCTAGGTGCCCTGAAGTTCCCTGCTTCACTTCTGTGAAGCTGTGCCGTGGTGCTGCCAGGTGAGCATCGTCCTAACCACAGATCAAGCACCAGCCCCACCTCCGGAGGAAGGTGCCATCTGCTCCCATAAAGATGTACAGCCTTGGAAGCTAGATGGGCTCACAGTAGGTTGGCACTGACTCTAAGGCAGTGGTGGGGGTGAGAGAAAGGGGTACTCTAGGAGAAAAATGAGGCTGGGTGTTTCTAAAGATTTGCAGCCTTGGAAACCATAGGAAGCAGTCCTACTTTACCCTGTAGAATCACTACGAGTCAGAATGGACTCCACAGTGGGTGTGGTTCTTGTTTGTATGATACAAACAGTGCTCAACTACTAATTGGAAGGTTGCCAGTTTGAATCCACCTGTAGGTGACCCAGAAGATACAGGTTGACACTCTGCTTCTCAAAGGAGACATCCTTGGAAACTGGAGCTCTGTTCTACTCTGTGATACATGGGTGGTCGTGAGTCTGAATCAGCTCAAGAGCAGTAGGTTGTAAGGGAGAGTAGCAGCATTTTAAGAAGTGATCTAAACAGATTTTGTTAGCTGTCATCAAGTGGGCCCCACCTCATGCCCAATGGAACACAATGCTGCCAGGTAAGTTGTGGATCGAACTTGTCCAGTGTTTGCGTTAGCCGGTTGGGGGATGGGTGACTGGTGGATAGGCAGACCTTTCTTCCTATTCCGCCTGGTTATGGAAGCGCCATTAAAACCTGCTCTTCATTGTAATACACAAGCTTCCTCTGACAGATGGGCAGTGGCTACAAATGAGGTGCCTTGGTCGGGAATCAAACCCAGGTCTGTCTCAGAAGGCCAGGGTTCTACTGAACCCCCTCGCCCAGGTGTCTTCAACAAAATCCTGGTTCAAGTGAACTTCACCCCATTCCATTTTAATGTACCCACCCCAAACACCTGTCCAAAGAACAGAACCTGAGGTAGCTGTGGGCTTTCATGCACAGTTTACTTCAGAAAATGATCCTAGAGAACAGGACTGGGACAAGATGGAAAACCCAGGAAATGTACCTACAATTAAAGTCCATTAAATGTACTCAAATGTTGGAAGAATAAGCATAAAGGTTATAAATCGAAGATAAGGTCTTAAAACTTCACAAGCAGCCATCTAAGAACTGTAGGCCGCTACTTGTCCCAAGAAGAGTGGAAAGGATCTAGGCCATAGAGCAGGTCATAGCAGGAACCACAGGCTTGTCTAGCTCCGAGACCAGAGGGTACCCAGCCGCCACCTGCTCTAACCAAGACCACAGGATGGAGTGGAGAAATGTGGATCAGACATCCTCCTCTGACCAGTCTACCGGATTGGTTAAAACTAGAGGGACCATCTGAGACGACTGAAAACACTTCCAACCATGAACTGAAACCCCAGATTGGCTCACAAAGTCGTAGCCCTCTGAAGTCCTTGTGAAAAGCACCTTGAATAAGTAGCACTGCACGTGTGCCAACACATGAGGAAGCAAGGAAGCAGTGAGACTGGATAAAAGGAAACGGAACGGGAAGTGCTCACCCACGTTAAGAATAATTGTCACTGAACAACGTAGGGAGAGACTTGGTTGAGAACAAAAACTGTAAACCTCCACCAAAAATAATAACATTTTTTTTTTAAAGTCGCAAGCCTCAGTCTTCACAACCCTGAGAAGAACTAAATGGGATTTTGCACAGGAGAAGGCTGGGCCAGATAGCGTCTGAGATTGTGCCTGTCTTCCAGGTTATTTCACAACCAAGGAAGAACCTACAACTAGAGGGGAAATGCCCTCCCTGATTAAGGAACAGACGAGCCACCTTCTCCAGATACGGCAGCAAAGCACCTCGCAGCTGGAGCAACACCCATCCCTTGGGAGAACTAACATTAAAGCAGAGCGGTCTCTGCTCTGTAGCCAAGAGTACAGATTTTTGAGAATTAAACATCCTTTCTATCAGCTAGCTTACGTATACCTGATTTAATGAATTTCCCCCAGCCCTTAAAAGGTTGTAAGAGCAGGTATTACCCGGGGGCTTCAAAACTCTCCAGAAAAAAAAATGTCATTAGCTTTTCATTCTAATTTCCCATGAACGTTTTCAGGCCTGTAGTAGTATCCCCTTAGCCAGGTTAAGTCGCATCTCCAAACACAAGTCTCAGTAGCAACAAAGCTCAGACTCTAGGCCTAGGATTCTCTTTTCCTGTGGTTTTCTACAGCAAGTGGCATTATAGCTTCCCAGCATGCTGCACGGACGGGTGTGTGCCTTTGGGTAGAAGAAAAGGTCATTTTCAGAGCTAAAATTGGCAGGAAGACTACCCAGCCACCCGTGTCCTGGGAGAAAAGAAGGTTTGCTCACCCTCTATCGGCCAGCGTTGGTGGGGCAACCCAAACAAGGGGCAGCGAGAATGATGGGAGATGACCCATGGCTTTGGACTTGCCAGCTTTCACAGCTGTGAGCCATTTCCTTGTAATACACACACACACACGTATGAAGGTAGTTAAAATATACCTACTAAATTATAGAAACCCTTATTAAAAATACAAAATGTGACGCTACTGTTTTTCAACATCCTCCGAGGTCTATACCTTTCTGAAGGTGGCGTTTCCATCTCTAACGCGTCCCCCAAAGATGTCTGCATCCTTCGATTTTCGCCACATCAAAATGGCAATGCTGGCACCCTCCAGGCGCTCAGGTTGTATTCCTTTGACATGTTCATTGAACTTTGAGAAGTCTGGTGAGGGTGAGATGAGAACTTTGGAGTGGATGGGTCAGCTTTCCCCACAAAATCCTCATAGAACAGCCTTTGCTGCCCTTGAAGAACGAGCAGGTGCATGGTCACCATGGGGTGGGGGGTGGGGATTCTTCAGCACCATCCCCTGGCTTTTTTCTCACCAGCCCTTTTCAGTTGCCCCAAAGCTTCGTCGTAAGCTCACATGGCCATCCTGTATCCTTTGAGAAACTCTTACCAAGATTACCCCCACTGACAGCGGCCCGATGCACAACCGACGGAAACAGCGTGGCCCTGTGCCATCTTCTCCACTGTTAAGTTTGCAGCCGCTGTGTCAATCCATCTGGTCGAGGGTCTTCCCTCTTTCCCGCTGCTCCTCGACTTTCCAGGCACGATGCCCTTCCCTAGGCCTGGCCTCATCTGATAACGTCCACAGAAAGGGGGACAAGTTGCTCCCTCTGTGCTCGAAGGAGCCCCCTGGCTGTACTACTTT